CCCTCTGGAAGGCCAGGAGTGAGGGAGCCAATCTCACCTCCAGGGGCAGAATATTCCAAAGAGCATGGGCTTCCACAGAGAAGGCCTGCCTTCTGGACCCCGCTAATCGGAGTTCTTTTACTGAGGGGGTCCGAAGCATGCCCCTCTCTGTGTGATCAGGTGGGATGGGTTGAAGTCATGGGGGAGAGGGGTTCCCTTAGGTAGCCTGTTCCCATGCTATGTAGGGCTTTAAAGGTGATAACCAACACCTTGAATTGGACCCGGAAGCAAACTGGTACCCAATGCAGCTCGCGGAGCAATGGCGTTACATGGGCCCTTCTTGGGGCTCCAAAAATAGCCTGCATGGCTGCATTCTGGATTCAGTAGTGATTTGCTGAAAGTAACTGTTTCAGTGTCAGGTTTTCTGTTTTTTTAATAGCAGAAAAATCTCGATCGTCCTCATGAACCAGAAAAAGTGCCACGGGCTCCTCATGACAGGCGCAGAGAGTGGCAGAAGTTAGCCCAGGGGCCAGAACTCGCAGAGGATGATGCCAGCCTCTTACATAAGCATATTGAAATTGCTAATGGCCCTGCCTCACATTTTGAGACCAGGTTCGTTTTTTTAACTTAAAGTTTTATACTAGTTTGTTTATGTTGTTAGTATGAATCTCAAGCTAGCTGTCATCCTTGCATGCTATTATTAGGGGTAATTTTCTAGAAGGGATCATAACTTGACATTGCCATAATAGATCATTGCTGTATGTCGTGCCACATTATATTCCTGAGTGGTCTCATGGTTTTTCTTCACATATTCCCCATGGAGGACTTTTGAATGCCTCCTGTTCGTGTGTGTGTGTGTGTGTGTGTGTGTGTAATAGCAGTAATAATAATGGTTTGCTATTTACTTTGGAGTTAACAAATAAAACAGAATTTATCATTTCTGTTGCTGCATTCAGTGCACATCTCCAGTGTACAAGGTTTATGACAGAGTTACAAAACAAAGTGTTGTTTGTGTGTATTTCATTGTCATGTGTTAAATCGCCTTATTTGCCACCTATTACTAACGGTTTTGTGCTCTCTTCCTCCGTAAATATTGAAATAGTGGGATAATTTTCCTTATTCTTTTGAGAGTATTTTTTTTTCCTTTTAATGGAAATGAAATCAGAGAATAAAATGAATTTAACAGATGTGCATGGGATTTATTTCTGTTCAGACCTCAGGCATATGTGGAACACATGGATGGACCCTATTCTCTTTCTGCATTACCATACAGCCAAATGAATGAACTTCTTAACAGGGCAGAAGAGCGTGTTTTAGTAAGACCACATGAACCACCCCCACCCCCACCAATGCATGGAGCAGGAGATGTGAAACCCATTCCACCCTCCATTAGGTAAGAAGCACTTAAAATGGAAGGTCAGGGTGCCTTTGCAACAGCTGACACTGACAGACTGTAAGTTGTAGATACAGAAAAACAAGAAATCTTTACAAGAAGACACGAAGCACCTAAGTCCCTGTTTGCTAAGTCTGAGTACTTTGATACCCTGTAATATGTTTTGCTCTTGATGTTTTTCCTATGTATTTATTCAATAAATAGATTTTTTGCCATTAATTATGAACCAATTCAACATTTATAGTAATCAAAATACAAGCAATAAGTTAAAACAGTATAAAATACTAGAAAATAACACACTCAGCTTAAAACTAAAAAGAGGGGAAAAATGAAATCCGCATACAGGTAGTCCTCATTTAGCTACTGCCTTGTACAGTGACTGTGTACAGTTACAACGGTGATGAAAAAGTAACTTTGTGACCAATCCTTGCATTTATGACCTTTGTAGGTCTGTAAGCACAGGAAAGCTGAAGCAAGATCGTAAGCACAGTTGCAGTTTCACTTAGCGATTGCTTCACTTAATCACCAAGTTGCCGGTCCCAATTGTGATCACTAAACGAGAACTACCTGTAGAACACATCATAGCAATTGGAACGTATAGCTGCCACTGTCTGAATCCCTTTCATTAGGCTGTCCTGTCCAAGAAAAGGCATACGTACTAGAGTTGTGCTGTGATCCAGATTCAAAAAGCAAAAGTGATGGGGTGCATGCTTAGGTAGCAGATAATAGTTGTCAGCACCTCCTTAAATTAGAGCCTCCTTTTTCTGGGATTGCTCCATTGCTGTTCAAGCCAAGGAAAAGACACAGCCTTTTTAAACAATTGCTGAGAGGTGTGACATGGAAGTCTATGTGTGCTCCTAAGCACCTTTTATCTTTTAAATCTAAATTGCTACACAGCCCTAGTGACATACCAAATGAAGATATAGATTGTTACCAACTGAAACTGGTGTTAGACATAGTTGTTAAGGCACCAGACTAAGATTGGGAAGATCTAGATTCAAGTCTATCCCCAGCCATGAAATTCACTGGCTGACTTTGGGCCATCGCTATCTTTCAGCTTTTGGGAGAATATTGAGGGAGAGAGTACCATGTACATTTTCTTCAGTTCCTGGAGGAAAGGTGGGGCATAAAACTAGCAATAAATAAATAAATAAGATCACTTGATCTCCGGTGATCTTATTTCTGATGATGATTCTAGGAACACTTCAAACTATGTATAATTGTAAAAAAAAAATTGCAAAAATAAGGGCCAATGTTTTGGCCCCATCTATGAGGGGAAGCTCTGAGAGCTGCAAAAATAATGTTGGCAGGCCAGTTTTTACAGATGCTGTAAAATCTACAGAGAACTATTCCAAGTTCTACTTCACTCTGAAGTGCAGAGAGCGATCATAAGGACGAAGGACAGTGTTTCACACTCCTTTTGTGGATTACACTCAGAAAAGAAGCTTGCCTTGCCCTTACGATAATGTATTCTTAATGCCAGCCATTCATCACCTGGGCTCTTCAACATTTTAATACATTTTATCATCATGCTAATCAATGCATTGCTGTCAATTATTTAATTATTGTAATGAAATGCTCTCTGCTTTGACAGATTGTCTTTTTAGTGCTATGTTATAATAGTTATACTGATTGAACTCCAGTTTTGTTTTCAAATATTTTTCTTTATTAAATTCCATATTGCCAAGAAAACCATAATTATGTGACAATCCAAGAAAAAATTATAAATAAATGTATCTATTGTCAAATTAGCAGTGTAACTATTTGTAATACGATCTCAGAAATGAAACATTAAAAAATATGTGTTAGATACAAAAACGCTGAGAACTGGCTTGACTATGACCGACTGCCCATTCAGAATACTTGCATGTTCTGAAATGATTATTGATACTTAGAATGTAATTTAGGCTAATTTTCACTCTTCTAGTTGTACTCATTTTCAGTATTTTTCTTAATGTCAGCTCGACTGCAGCTTTGACAGAAAATCGCCCTCAGTCTCCTGCTGCTGGCAGAACCCAAGTGTTTGTGAGTCCCACTCCTCCCCCTCCCCCTCCCCCCCTTCCGTCTGCTCTGTCTACTTCTTCATTAAGATCTGCAATGACTTCCACACCGCCCCCTCCAGTGCCGCCTCCTCCCCCTCCTCCAGCCACTGCTTTACAACCTCCGGCTGTCCCTCCACCCCCAGCACCCCTACAGATTGCTCCCGGAGTTCTTCATCCAGCTCCACCTCCCATAGCACCTCCTTTAGCGCAATCCTCTCCTCCCATCACTAGAATTGCCCAAGTATGCGAACCCATTCCAGTTCCCCCAAGTGAAATGCAAGGACTTCCTCCGCCGCCGCCGCCTCCTCCTCCTCTGCCACCTCCTGGTGTTCGTCCCTCATCACCAGTTTCAGCCCTTTCTCACCCTCCCACCTCTATTGTCCCAGGCCCTCATGTTCCCATAATGCCTCCATCCCCACCATCCCAAGTCACTCCTGTTCCTGAACCCAAACGGCACCCATCAACACTACCCGTCATCAGTGATGCCAGAAGTGTCCTCCTTGAAGCAATACGAAAAGGTACTCATGATCTGTAGATCCATTAACATGGCTGCACACTTGATGAAACAAATATTCTTTTAGCAGATTTAATGTTTTAAAAAAAGAATGCGTACTTGGACTAGAGTAAGCATGTCATGTTAAGCAAATTGCTATATGAATTTTTATAAACTTCACTCGATGCTAGATAAGTTATTTATCCTTGGATGGAGCTTATAATAGCTCTACATAAATGTTAGCAAAAAGGGTTCATGCACAGTACAAAGTCGAGCACTTAGTTTGTGAAAGTATACAAGTATATTATATGCTATTAAGTTATAACAACAGAAAATCAGTATATAATTGATGCATATTCTCACACAACAAGCTGCTTCCAGCTTTTTCTTTCTGTTGCTCACAAGAATTTAACTATTTTTTCTTTAAAAAGCCAGTTATATTACCTCGCTTTGTTATTTACACATGTAACAGAAGAGCTTAATTTCTCAACACTATTTTATTAACTTAAGTAGTTCAGAGATAAAGAAGGGGTAAGTAGATAAAAGCATATTCCAATTTCTGTTTTAGAGTATTTGAAATTCAGGAGCCTTGATCAGAATTGGTTTGCTCAGATAAATAAGATATATTCTTGGATTTGAAAGAGCTAGAAAATTTGGGTCCACTTTAAGCCTATAATTTATATGACATTTTTTCAGTAAATTTCACAGCAAAGAAGTGAATATTTATCAAGAAAGTTACTGAGTTATCCTTTGCTATTAAATTTCTATAAAAATCATCCAAAACCATTTTCTTATTTCATCTAACCACTTGGCTGCAATTTGCTTCACATGCAGCTGTGAATTATACTTCACTTTTAAATCGGCAGCAAACAAGCCTTGGAATATTTTGTATATCAACAGTCTACATTAATAATCAATTGCTATTTTCTTAGTTGAAAATATTAATATTCTACGTTAAAGTTTATAAGGAAAGTTTATTACTGTATGATCCTATTTTTGTAATTGCATTTTTATATTCATATCTTTTCTGCCCACAGTTAAAGAATAACTTAAGAATTCCCCTCCCCCCCCCATTTATTACATTCGCTTATGTGTCCCGAATAAGGTGCTTAGTGGTCCAAGATACACAGCAGAATGCCCTCCCCAGCTTGATGCTTCACTCAATTGGATCTGATTTTTTTTATTCTTGCCATTTAAAATAAATATATAAATGGGAAGCTAGCATGAGGCAAAGCAAAGCACTGCAGTGGCCTCAGGCATTTTGGCATTACCAACAGTGCCTCTGCTGCACCCTCGAGGCAGACTCAGACAATAACATGGTGAGGGGCTAAAGCTCAATGTTTTCTTTGGAAGTGTGCCCAACTGCCCAGAAAAACTACAAGATAAGGTGAAGTGGTAGAGAACATCCTAAGGAGCTAAAAAGATAGTAGCGAACAATCTTGCTAGATTTTCTTCCAGTAAATGAATGGTTTGTGATCACCCACACCAACTATGACAGGCATTTTTTGAGAGGACTTACAATATGATCTCAAAAATAAGTGAGCCTGCTGACATAAAAAATTTGGAGATCCCTTATGTAACAGGTGGCTTTGGTCACCCTCAAGAGACTGGATAAATATACAGTGGGGCAAAAAAGTATTTAGTCAGCCACCAATTGTGCAAGTTCTCCCACTTAAAAAGATGAGAGAGGCCTGTGTGGGGCAAAAAAGTATTTAGTCAGCCACCAATTGTGCAAGTTCTCCCACTTAAAAAGATGAGAGAGACCTGTAATTTTCATCATAGGTATACCTCAACTATGAGAGACAAAATGGGGGAAAAAATCCAGAAAATCACATTGTCTGATTTTTAAAGAATTTATTTGCAAATCATGGTGGAAAAGTGGGGCAAAAAAGTATTTAGTCAGCCACCAATTGTGCAAGTTCTCCCACTTAAAAAGATGAGAGAGACCTGTAATTTTCATCATAGGTATACCTCAACTATGAGAGACAAAATGGGGGAAAAAATCCAGAAAATCACATTGTCTGATTTTTAAAGAATTTATTTGCAAATCATGGTGGAAAAGTGGGGCAAAAAAGTATTTAGTCAGCCACCAATTGTGCAAGTTCTCCCACTTAAAAAGATGAGAGAGACCTGTAATTTTCATCATAGGTATACCTCAACTATGAGAGACAAAATGGGGGAAAAAATCCAGAAAATCACATTGTCTGATTTTTAAAGAATTTATTTGCAAATCATGGTGGAAAAGTGGGGCAAAAAAGTATTTAGTCAGCCACCAATTGTGCAAGTTCTCCCACTTAAAAAGATGAGAGAGACCTGTAATTTTCATCATAGGTATACCTCAACTATGAGAGACAAAATGGGGGAAAAAATCCAGAAAATCACATTGTCTGATTTTTAAAGAATTTATTTGCAAATCATGGTGGAAAATCTCTCATAGTTGAGGTATACCTATGATGAAAATTACAGGTCTCTCTCATCTTTTTAAGTGGGAGAACTTGCACAATTGGTGGCTGACTAAATACTTTTTTGCCCCACTGTATAAAATTGTTTGACAGCCTAAAAATATATATTTATTTCCAAGAATGCTTTGAGGACCTTATACTGTCCAGAGGCATTTATAGAAAAGGACAGCGTGAATGGCTCAGTTGTTTGGAGGTATACCCTCCTTTGCCTTTTTTTTAGGAAAAAAAAGAAAGATAAGGTGAGGTAATAGAGTGCATCTTGGTAGACTAGAGGAAATGATAGGATCAACTTTTTAAACTTTGCCTTCTAGAAAATGGGTGTTTTATGACTGGCATTATCTCATTGATAGCCGTTTGGTGGAAGTGCCCTGATGTGTTCTCAGACTTCCGATTGTGCTTACTGGCCCAGAAAAGTTAGGTCCTCCTAAGTAAATTATAAAAGTATATGCTATTAGTTAAAGGTTCTTATGGAAAGCCAATTGGTTCATGCTGGTATGTCTCATACATATGGCCTGCAAAATACTTTGTTGTTGTTGTTGTTGTATTCTAGGTATTCAGTTACGGAAGGTTGAAGAACAACGCGAACAAGAAGCTAAACATGAGCGTGTTGAAAATGATGTTGCCACCATTTTGTCTCGCCGCATTGCTGTGGAATACAGTGATTCAGAAGACGACTCAGAATTTGATGAAGTTGATTGGCTGGAGTAAAATGGTTATATGCTACAAAACTGAATGCTAGTGTCCATTGTGGTGCTTGTTCTTTGAAAATGTTTGGTCATTTCTAGTGTTTTTGTATTTTCTTTATATAATCTATGTTTTTCTACTTTTTATTTCAAAAAATGTTGGCACATCTTTGGAACTAAATGTTTTACAGTGAGACAGTTCTTTAAAAAGAGCGTCATTTTGCTCCCGTAGACCATTAAGTATTAAGCATGGGCAGCTGTCGATAGAGTAGCAGACTACATTTTCTGGCATTTAACTGTGCACTTTGTGAATTTTAAGTTATGAAGGCAATTAAGTTTGAAGTTTCAAGGGCAACTGCATGTACTAATGAGCTTTATTACGTTACATTGCTAATGCTGAAAAACTTGGAAAAAGGGGTGTTCATCCATCCAGCACTGCAATCACAACATTTTAATGGACCTCGAGTATGAGAAGAACTTGAAGGATTTACACCCTAGTAACCACTGCCTTGATTACACCTGTACAGTACTTGTAGTTTTAGCAGCACTGGAATACTGAAAGAAAAGGGAATATGGATCTTTGGGGAATTTTATTGTTTTTTATTAAAGAATTATGGCCTTATTTGAATGCTTTTGCAATTTTCTTTCCTTTTACCTGTTGTGATAATATTTTCCCTGCTTAAGATTTTGATTTTTCTCCCCTTGTGAAACCATCTGACTTAGTCATTCTGTGTAATTTATGTAACTGTTAAAAATAACCGTTCAGTTTAAATAAATGGTTTGTTTTAAATGTTCCTGGTAGTTGCTTTTTGGCAGAGAACAACTCAGAATATTCATTTGAGACTTTATTGAATGTTAAAGAATAATATCCAAACTTCACAGTGAGTTCACACATGTATAGGAAGATTTTTTACTCTTTGAAGAATACTATCAAGTTGCATATTTTTCTTGGCTTTGTTGGATACATCAGGGTAGGAACATTTTTGCCCTTAAAAGATACATGCAGGTATTGGTGATTGGGGATTGCGTATACAGACACTCTGCCTCTTCTTCACAGAGTGCACTGGAGAAGCAAAGTTAAAACGGCTTCTTCTGTTACTCTGTAGGCAGCTGAACCTGCTTTTTTCCCTATTACTGTTTTCGTAGGCAGAGAGCCAGTTTGGTGTAATGGTCAAGGCACCAGGCTGAAAACTGGGAGACTCTGAGTTCCAGTCCTGCCTTAGGCCTGAAGCCAACTGGGTGACCTTGGGCCAGTCCCTCTCTCTCAGCCCTAGGAAGCAGGCAATGGCAAACCATTTCCAAAAAATCATGCCAAGAAACTGCAGGGACTTATCCAGGCAATTGCCGGGAGTCAACACTGACTCAAAGGGACCAAAAAAAAAAAAAAAAATCATAGACATCTGCAGGGAGGAGACAAGTGAAAAAACATGAATTGTGTCATCAAAATTTAAACTCTGATATATCTGATGTTGCATATAACATCAGGATGCAAATAAAAAAAACGACTTTTAAGGTTAAAACTAACACAAACTAATATAAAGTAAGGAAAAAAAAATGCAAAAAAAAAAGTTGAAGAAAAATAGAAAACAAAGAAGAAAGATATAAAGAAGTGGCTTCCGATAGTCTTCCCAGCAGTTTTAGGTACAAATATATTTTAATCTCTCTCTCTCTCTAAAGTCACATCATATTGCTCTTCTTTCTATAATATGTCTAATCAAAACCATAAATCTCAAGTTCATTTTTTTCATTTTTATGCAAAAATTCCTAAAAGGCTTCCAGTCACCAATAAATGTAATTAGAGTCTTTTCTCTAATCAAAGAAGTCAATTTATCCATTTCAGCAAAATCTCTCAACTTCACCAACCCTTCCTCAGTAGTGGGTAGTATTAAATCTTTCCATCTCTGTGCATATAGTAATCTTGCCACAGTAATTATATGTTCAAATAATCTTCCATGGCTTTTTTCTAACTGTTTATCCATTAATCTTAAAAGGAAAAGATCCGGCTTCAACTGAATATTGATCTTTAAAAATCCTCTGTATCAAAGTATGCATTTGAATCCAATTTTTTTTAGCTTTTTTTACATGTCCACCAAGCATGATAAAATGTCCCTTCATGCTGTTCACATTTCCAACATACTTCTGAAGTGTTTTTATACATTCTAGATAATTTCTCTGGCGTCATGTACCAACAGTACATTACTTTATAAAAATGTTCTTTCAGATCATAACACAATGTAAATTTCAATCCTTTTAACCACATATTTTCCCATTGATCCATCTGTATATTGTAACCAAAATTTTTAGCCCACTTTATCATACATTCTTTAACCTGTTTCTTATTTCATTCTCCCCACCATCAACACTCATGAAGATTGTTTTTGGGAAAAGGACTTGCAAAGATGACACTCCTTGCATTCCATTTTCAACACAAATGACAGCTCACCAAATAGCTGATTTCTGGACTGTGAAGACTCTGATCAAGGTGTGGTGAAGGTCTCCTTGCATATCCTATTCCCCAACACAATTAGGGCAGTGACAATTAAAGGGGGAGTGGGAAACAAACTCTGGCAAGCTACAGAAAAGACGTTTGAGAGGCTCATGCAGTCCATAAGCCACAGGTTGCTAATTCCTGCCCTATAGACCAGTGATTCTCAACCTCAGCAACTGTTAGATGTGTGGACTTCAACTCCCAGAATTCCCCAGCCAGCATGTTTTAAAGTTGCTAAGTTTAAGAAATCCTGCTAAAAACTAAAGTGGGGTGGGAAATCTGTGACCTTACAGATGCTGTTGGACTCCAGATACTGCTTACCATCTGCCCCAAACAGCAGAACCAATAGTGATGATAGGAATTACAATATATCAAACTCAGGAGACCCATCTTCTTGTAGCACATAACTAATACTAAGGCTAATCTCTTCTTCAAGATTCCAGACATATTTAATACTGAAAAAAGTTTTAGTTCATATTTTATATGCATATATGTGTGTACGTGTTCAATTTGATATTATTTTATACATAGATAATGCCTCTGAAAAGCCTGCACGTATCTGTTTTTACTGTTATTTTTGCTTGCAGTGAAGCTATAGTAGTTTTGAATACAGTAAAATAATAAAGAACAATAACAGTAAGTTAATGAGTGTACATTTACAGTTAATGTATATTCATCTCAAAGGTCCAAATATTCTGTCACTGAAAAATAATGTTCAAGGTTTTATTAGCAAGAAACCAATTTACTCAAAAGGTGCCTAGAACTATCAATAATCTGAACAAATTTGGGTCTGGAGACCCTGATGTTGCCTTTGACTGTGACTTTTTTTTCTTGTCTTCCCTCCCCAGGACCCACTGTATGTGCTTTGTTATTTAGATAAGCATTCTTTTTTCGTATCTAATAGAATGATATAAATTCATCACAAATAATTAAAATGGGCTATCTACAGTATATATTTTAAAAATAACATCTAAATAAGTCTTGATTTGTTAGTATAGCAAACGCTATTAGTAACTTTTCTTATCTTTCCATGTCTCTTGAGAAGTGATATCCTAGTCTCTCAGAAAACAATCCTGTTATCATATTCAACTCTTTTAACTTGGGGAGGGGTGGTCAACTAATTAGGAGTCCCTTTTTTGCGGGGGGGGGGGGGGTTGAAAAATTGAGGGGGGGGGTTTGGGGGGGGGGGGGGGGGGAGTTTAAAAATCTGATCTTCCTTTGTGTACCCAGTGCTAAAATCCTTGCTCTTGCTAAAGCGTAGATGAATCTGCAGCTCTTCAGAAAGTGAGTTCCTTTCCATATGTGAAGAATTATTCAATGGAAAAAACTGTATAGCATCAAACAGCAATATATTATTGCTTTAATCCTTTAATTATCTTAGGGTATGAAAACTAAAAATCTTCAGTTATTTAACCATTCCACAAGTGCTTTGTCTGCACATTAATTATAGTTAAAACTGTTACCGCTTACAACTTCCAGTTTGTTGAAGAAAAGAGCTGAATTTTAAAAGTGGTCCATTGTCATATATTTCTTTCTGTAGACAATGATTTTTGAATGTATAATATTTTTACCCTGGTAGTATAGATATCTATGCATTTCATATGTTTGCAGGCAAACAGACAAGGTCCAAAACACCAATCTATTTAGCTAAACAGAGGAAGACAGTGTAAATGACAGCTATAGAATTAAAAGATTTTGTACAGTATGTCCAAATGCATGTTCTGTCCAACTACCCCAGCTACCCAAACTGAATAGTTTGGTGGAACTGAAACTCAGAACATTTTGTCCAAAATACAGTTCAGAGGGATCAGATGAGCCAGCCCCTCCTCTGCATGGCCTGTGCACCAGCCCACCCACTGAGCTTCCCACCTTCCTTTCTCTACTTCTCCTTATCCACCACTGATGTCAGCACCAGGTGTGGCATATCCAGCCAACCTGCCCACCCCTCAATCTCCTATTCCAAGAACATCAGGGGTGGCAGCTAAGAGAAGTTGTAGGAAAGAAGGTGCTGGGAGGGGGGACAAGGTTTGAGAGCAGGCCAGCTGGATATGCACTTGAAGCCAAGGACATTATGGCGGGATGGTGGTGGTAGGGATAATTTGGCTTCTAGTGTGGAATTGTAAGAACCCAATGCTTTCCCAATGAAAGCAACTTTCATTGAAACCAATACAAGTTCATTTCCGATTCAGACACTAGATCACCTTCTATGCCGCTGACGGCTCCAATCTCCGCCTCGGTGATTTCATCTGCCATCTCTAGCTCACAGAACTCCTCTCGATGCAAATCCAATGGACTTTCCTTGCTGAACTTCCGTTCCCAGTAAAATCCAAATAGTGGGGTTCCAGCACTATGTAAGAACCGCAGTACTCAGTTCCCAATGAAAGCAACTCCCATTGAAACCAATGCAGGTTCAAAGAAAAGTTCATTTATTGGAAAGTAGTGTACAGCTCCAAAGCTACTCCCATTGAAACCAATGCAGGTTCAAAGAAAAGTTCATTTATTGGAAAGTAGTGTACAGCTCCAAAGCTTTGCTGGAACTGAGTCCCACGTGTGCCAAAATTTAGTTTTACCTCACCCCCATCACCCCCCCCTTCAGTCTTGGAATCTCTCTTGTGCATGTCGAAGATGTCCTCAGGTTCTCATGTTGGTACGGCCTTGGACGTTCCTGGGAACGAGATAATTCATCTACGCTTAATGGTTCACATTCCCATTCTTCCCCCACTTCCTCCCTCTCTCTGTAATGGCAGAAACAAAGCAAGCAAACTAGCAGTAGAAGTGATTGAGTGTGAGGGTTCTGACAGGAATATGCATCCTCCCCGTCTTCTCAGCACGTTCCTTTCCCTGCCCATCTTCATCTGCTGCCACCATCGCTACAGCCGTCCATGGCCATGGCTATATACAGCATGCCCAACCAACTATGGATTTGTACTATATTCTTCAGCTGAGATTTTGTGATGGTTCTTCAGCTTCCCACTGTACTCTATAACTCTTATATTTCTGTGTCCAAGAACCAGCCAGGCACTCGGAGAAGGTAGCTAGGTCCTGCCACTGTAAACATTACTGATTCTGACTGCTTTATCTCATACATTTGGGTTGGAACAATATCGTAGCTCCCTTGTTAATTTTCAACAATTAAATGCATTGCAAAATATGTCCCTGGCTTTGTCACAGTGCTACAAGTTTAATGATAGTGAATGTCGTCTTTGCAGGATCTCATCTCCCATAAATAATTGTCATTCCATCCGTCCGTGGAGGGGTG